TCTGCCTGGACGAAAGCGTTCACGTGCTCGTAGCCTTGCTCAGTGAGTTGGTCCTTGGTGAAGTGCTGCACGAGAGCCTCCTCCCATTTCATCATGGCCTCGTCGGCGGCATCCAAGATGAAGTCAACGCGCGCTGCAGTGGCGCTCGTAATGCTGCCGCTGCCGTCACGTGCAATGCCGCCCATGGAGTCGTCGGCGAAGGCTGGGGCGCCGTCTGGGAAGTTGGCCTTGTTCACAGCAACCAAGATATCGGCTTGGCTCTGGACCGTCTGATTGAAGTCGGCACTGGTACCGGTGCCAAAGTAGCGGCGGATCCCAGCATTCAAGCAACCGGAGGAAACCCGGAGGCACACATCGGCAAAGCTCTTTCCATCAGCATCAGAGAGTGCTTTCACATCATCAGCCATGCGGAAGATTTCGGCCATCGTCTCCGGTCGCAGAATGTTCCCACCATCCTTGGCCGTGACCAAGACGCGATTCACGCGGCCGGCGGTGGTGAAGTACTTCTCAGTCCACTCCAAGTCCTTCATGACCTGTGATCCTTGATCCACCCAAAGATCACGAGCTTCGCTCACGGCCGTGAAACGCAAAACCCCCAGCGCACAAAGCAGGCATCCCACGACGGTCACTGCAACACACTTCCAGGGGTTGCGAGCACAGGATTTCGCCACCCTGCCGAGTCCATGTGCCACGGACTCCTCCGCACGCGAAGTGCAGGCAAGCCAAGCCTGCAGGGGCGACATGGCACCGCTTCCTACCTACTGGAGACGCTTCGAACCGCAGGCTTTACCTGAGCCAAATGCTCGTAGTTGTGGACGGAGCTAACGTCCCGCCGGAAAGTAAAACAGAGTCAATGATTCTTCCTTCTGAGTCCAAGTCGATCCAGCTCTACCGCTCGGCTCAACAGGAGATGCGACGCGCTTCTTTGGCAAATTGGGGCCTATCCGACCGGGGGCCGTTTGCATCGTCTCCTGCACGAACTTCCGGCTTCACACAACTTCACTATGCAAATCTGACCCTCTTGTTTTGCACACCTTCCAAGTCTCCTCCAACTCCGCTTGCGCCTGAAATCTGGGGCAGGGGCTAATCCTACGGCTGCAGTCATGCGCGCAGGTTCCAGAAGCTAACTAGATGAGGATTCGTGCCAGCCTGCGTTGAGGTTGCGTCCATGTACTCGAGCTCCGTCCTGGCCTAAGAAACGAGACACACGAACAGAGGCGGCTAGATAGATGGAAGCTGGTAAGGCGCGCTTGGATCTTCATGGACGTCACCTTCTCCTGCGCAAACGCATCGTGAAGATTCGACGACCAGAAAAGAAACAAGCTGAACGAACAGATCACTCTATGAACCGTGGTAAGGGTTGCCAGCAGTCTCCTGTACGCGCTTCTGGTGCCAGTGGTGTTGCCTTCAGTGCAGAATGGGCTTCTACTGTTTGTGGCCCCGCACAGACGGCAGAACATGCCGCAGCCCGGCTTATGGCAACAGAGACAATGATCGAGATCTCCAGAAACACAGCTGGAGGCACAGGTCTGATTTATGCAAGCTTGAATGAAAGCACAACAACTCGTGATCACTTGTAGGTTCAATTGGGGGGGTGGAAGAGCGAACCCATACAAGGGCTGCTGCATTCGAGCCTCTGTGTCAGTAGAAAGCAACCCAAGGCGAGTCCGAATTTCATGTGGGAATGTGTTGACTACCACGAGTCAACGGTAAAGAGACACAAGCGCTACAGTTGCTGCAATGGGCATGCTTCCGAAGCTCAAAGGTTGCTAAAATCAACCTGAAGTTGCGGGTGTTCCAAATGCAATCACATGTGAGTCGTGTCTGAACCTAAAGCAGTCCCACACCATGCCCGTCCATCAATCCGAGGCGGGAATCTGGAAACACTGCTCCGCTGTGACCGTGTTGAAGGAGGTACCGAATTTCAAAAACAGTGAACTGGTCTCGTCGTGCCCATCATTCACATCCTCGCAAAATACCCGACATACCAAATCACTACTACCAGCGATTTCCCAGCCTGCTCCAGAACTGCTGCCCTGTCTCCGTGACCTGAGGTGGCGCTGCGTACAGCTTTTCTTCAGGTGCGACTGTGTGAAGGGAAGCTTGCATGGAGGGCGGACATGTGGCCTGGCCTGGCTGCACGTATCTTGGTGACGGGACGGACGGTGAGCTTGGACATAGCTCTGATTTCTCAACTATCCGGTACGCAGTGTGTGGCTACGAGCCTTACGGGTTGCGTGCATCCTTTGAGGTGATCCAGGCTAGTTGCTGGCAAACCGAAGCACAAGATGAGTTCAGACCTGACACCTCCTTCCCTGTTCCATCTGCTTCCCAGCATGAGTCTTGTTCATGTTTCACCACGTGCGGACGACTCAGGAATGGAATCACCCAATCGATGCGCAAAGCCTCCGCGCGACTTGTGGTGTTGACTCAATCCTTGTCAAGTCTCCCTATGACCTGGAGCATCAGAGGGTGAGGGTTGGTCTCCCGAAGAGCTTTCGAACACCTGTGCTGGAAGCTCCCTATTGGAACAAGGGATTCGAGTCCGAGGAAAACGCTTGAGAGTCGCGCCCTACTCAATTCAAAACGCGGTACAACGTACGACACAGTGGCCCAGGGCTCTGGACTCATGACAGCCTCATCCTTGAGAGTGGCAGTGCATGATGACACTCTGGCCAACGACTTGTTGAGAGGTGCAGAGAGGGTACCGACATGTCGTGACCTTCTCAGGCCTCTAGGCACCAGGCATGAAATCGATTCTCCTTGTCGAGATGGAGGATGGAGTTCGAGCCCTCGTTGAACAAACCAGAATCGGGCACTGTAGTTCATGCTACAGTGTTAGCTAGTCAGCTAGTCTTTATCGATACCACTTTTAAGAAATGGGCAAGGTTCTCCAGCAAGTGCCTACGAAACGACTAGTAAATAATCAATGCGGAGTTACTTGCTTAGTCAGCAACAAGTAACAAGTATCGAATAGTGTCGAAACTAATTGAAACAAAACAGAATCAGGTCATGGGTCATCACCCTGCAATAGAAGTTGACAGTCAGCAGCTTCCTGCTGCACGATATGGAATCGGGCATAGTCAAGGCCTTGGACGCCTTGGAGCTTCTTTGTAGCAGCTTCAGCTTTGCCATTAGCGCCTCGAACCAGCAGCACCCACCAAGTCACGAAGCCAATATCAGAATGTGTGCGCCGCGGAGCCTTCGGTGTGGATAGGGGATGCCCTTCGGCTCGCAATCTAGCCTTCACGCTTCTCTACGACAGTGGTACAAGAATCTAGAAGTCCTGTGAGTCTTGTACCTGTTGCTGCGGCGCAGAAACTCCGGTTATTCTATCAGTCTAGCAAAGTTGCGAGAAGCAACCTCCAGCTGCTGCGATGTCATTGGCCCATGAGAAGAAAGAGCCTGGACCGTGCATTCGTGCATTCGGCATCTGCAGAGAATGCGAAAAGTCTCTTCTCTACTGCGCCTGAATTATGTTGTGAAAGACGCGCTTCTTTGGCCTGGAACCGCGTGTTCCAAAAGAAGACACCACAAGAGTGCTCGCATCTGAAGAAACGAATACCCTTGCACTGGCAAAACCCGAGAACGATGCGCGCGCAAGTATGACATCGAGAAGCGGTCCACGTGGCCTGAGTGCGGTGAGCAGAGCTGGCTGCGAGCTCGAGCTCAAGCAAGCTCATCTTCAAGGCTGCAAAACAAGCAATCAACTCGCTTGAAGAAAGCCAATTGGCACTGGCCGCAGATCGCGCTGAGTGGGATGTTCTTATGACCTCAGCAGCTTCACGAAGCCTTTCTGATGTTGGGCCCATCAAGACCCAAAGATCCGGAGACATGTCTTTAACAGCAGATGTGAACCGCTGGCACTCCATGCAACACGAAAAGTGGATAAATCCTAGGCTCTTGCACAAGCACTCGCTCCATCTACGGGTTTGAGCTTGAGGCTTCAGTCCATCAACTCTCAGCCTCAGGCCACACTGGTTGCACGTCCACGGCCCAAGGTCTTTCTTTGCCATTGCCTTTGGTCGTCAGGTTGCAAGTTCGTGGCTGAGTCCGTCATACTGAAGCCGGGCACCCTGCTGTCTCCTCCTGGGACGTGCTGGAATGCCGGCATGCCAGCGTCCACAGGACATCGGACGCTACGTGCATACGAACATGAGGTTGCAGATCGAGGTCTGAAGCCTACTGGTAGCAGGAGTGTCCTGCGACCAGAAGAGAAAGCGCTCATGGACAACCTCCAATGATAAGTCCTGTCACTGCAGGGGGCGTTGCGGAGATCGAGCCAACTTTGACCTAACACTCCCTTTAGCTTGTGTCTGCTCGCCCCACTCGGACCCACCTCAAAAGTCAGGACGTAGAAGCCAGGGCTCTCCTCCTGCGAAACAGCGGATGCTGTCCAGTGTGACATGCCTCCTCCAAGACGTGTGGTTTGTCCTGGATCTTGTTCAGCCACTCCTTGCACTGCCAGAGACATGCACGTGCAGGCTACGAGTAGAACGGCTAGGGCTCTCTGGGCGCTCGGCGCGCTCTTTGCTCTCTTTGCTCTGGGCTCCAGGCCCGGCAAGCTCCGCAGGGCGGCAATGGGTTCTGCAACTCCTGGTGGCCCGCACGGGCCACACGGCCGACCTTCGGCACCACGGCAAAGACTGTTGGGCCAGAGCAAGTAGCAAGTAGCAGTAAGACTGCGACGGTGACCGGGACCTCGAGGACGGCAATCCCTCGACACCATGGCAACAGGCTCGCAGGAGACGGCCCGGCCCAAGGACGCCCCAGGAAACTGAGGTGTCCGCCCTTCATCTGCTTGCGCCCAGTGCCGGGATAGTGGGTTCGTGCCTCAAAGGCACAGCATCTCATGGCAGAAACTTGCGAGAACGGCACCTTGCAACTGCGATCGCGACGTTCGCAATCGCTGCGCGCTCAGCGCATATCGAACCAGTGGGCAAGGAGACTTCGCCTTGCAAGTATCTGTCTGCAGGTCTTTACACCTGCCACAAGTTACCACGACGATTAAGCACGGCCGGGGTCACTGTTGATGCCACGTGCAAAACAAGCTTGGCCTGCCAGCACAGGACAACCAGGACCTAGCCCACACATATACTGAAAGGACAACCTCAGCAAATTCGGCGCCACCTCCGTACTCGACATGAAGAACGGCTAGAACAACTCGATCGGACCTGGCTTCGGAATGCAGACCCGGCGGCCAGACATGCTTGGCGGCCTGTTGGCTGGTGGGGAAGCTCGTCGCTTGCAACAAGGATAAGTTTTTCTCGGCCGGCGGGCGGTTTCACGGACCCGGGAATCTGACTTTCCTTTTTTCAGTGGTGAGAAAGGAAGGGGGTCAGGCGAACCAACCTCAAGGGGCAACACCAGTTCAGGCACTTCAGACGTATCCAAAAATAAATCGCAAGTCCTAAGACATGACCATGCTCGGACAACCAGACTCCGCGAGGAACAGACGGATTGAGACGTTGAGGCACGCAAACATGTACATCCGTACCATTGGGCATCTCAGCATTGCATATGTACAGTCTTGCAAAAGGTAGTATTTGGATAGGACATCCGAAAAGGCCGGCAAAAGCACCCAAGCGGCCCAAGCCTACTCCCGCCACGGAGAGGATCGGAAACCATACTGGGTCTCTTGGTTTCTGGAGGTGGTTTGCCTGAGGGCCTGCTCTGGGCAATGTTGCCTCCACAGCCAAGCATATCCAAGCATGACGACTCTCGACTGATCTGATTGCCCCTGGCAGCTCAACATGAAATTCAGGCTGGCCGACTTCCGGTGAAAGAAAGGGTCCATGCCGTTCTTCCGGTACCTCTGCAACTACTTGCACCCGCTTCCAACATCCTCCCTGTGCATGCCACACTCGCTGACATGCTCCTTTTTTTGGCGCGCGCTGGAAACCGTGGCAGCGCGGACTATCAAGCTTGTCCCGAGAAACAGGATACTACAGTACTACAGGGAAACTTGCAGGGTACTATATAAAGGCACTACAACTAGAAGGTACTATACGGGTATCATATGGCTTGGAACATTCATCTGGCTCTCATCAGACGGCGGCCTCAAACATCCTCAGCGGACGGGAACTCCCTCCACGCAATGCTGAGCATCCGTAAAAGCATTTGCAGTTGCACCATTTCTCGTCTCCCAACTTCGTTCAAGTCGAGACTCTTTCTGAAGCAGCACGGTCCTTTCCGCTGCATCCTCGTCCTCCATTGCCTCACGCTCCTGGTAGCGCTCGGGTTGGGGTGTGTGATCATGATCACAGCCTCACGGCTACAGATTCGACTTCATCTCCTGCGATATGGACACTATACTTAAGAGCGGGCGCTCTGCACCGAGGCCTCTCTTGCAACTTGATTCAATGAACAGGCTTCACCATGGTCACAAGCCTGCAAAGACTGAACCGCACTTTGCCAGGTTCGAGACTCCTCGAGGGACTCCTTGTCCGCTGGATATGTCCAGAAGAGGAGGGAAAAGTTCACGGCGCCTCGGCCAAGCAAAGCTTGGAAGCAGACTGATGCAGCTGCTCTCACCTAATGCTGACTGAACCAACTATCGACAAAACGTATTGGGCAGTGACTGGAACGGGAAAGCCGGGGCACTGATCAAGGAGGGGACCACACAACTGAAGAAGATGGCACGTCCAAGAGCCGATGCATTGTGCTCTCGCACCTCCAGGCTCATGTTCTCCTTGGCAGTCTCCACATTATGACGTCCAACGGACTCAAGCACAGTTCTCCTCCTGTCATGCAGCTAGGCGACCACCTTCTCACTGGTATAGTGATAGTCGAAGATGTCCTGCTGTCAGCACACTCGCGAAGGCCCCCGTAGCCATCCTTGTTAGAAGCATCAGCTCAGCGGGAAGGTTGCACCTGGGCTATGAAGCCCACCAGCAATGGCCCGATCGTGTTGCCACTTGCAAAGACCTTGCCAGCTTCACGCTTCCGGTCGCTTCGGGAATGGGCAAGGGCTGAGCTCAAGGGAACGAATTTCCTGAGTTCCAGACTATCGCAACATCCCACGAGAAAGCCGATGACAAACTCAAATGCAAGAAAGAGCTGACTTCCAGGTGCCGGCGCCAGCACTCGAAATCTTGCGTCCAAGGCACTCCCTTCTTGGGATGATATCCATGACCTGGAGCTCGCCATGTTCAGAAACATTGGAAGGTGAACTAACCCTAGTGATTGAGAGAGCACTGAATCCGACCAGGGTTCCACAGGCTGCAGGCATCCAGGAACCTCCCACGTGGTCACCAAGCCCATCGTAAACAAGATGCCGGCGAAGAGCAAACCTAGGGCAGGGCATGGAACAACAACCTCCTCACCGGCCTCCAACGAACTCAGAACTTTCAACTGCCCGCGGCATGTCCCCTTGTTTCGGCCAGCTACTAAGGCTGGCTTCTCTTGGGATCCCCATGTACACAACATAGAGGAACGGGATGCTTGCCTTAGTACTAAAGGACAGGTTGCAACAGCGAGTGCTGGCGCAGGAGCCACGTGCTCTTTTGCGCCCTGTCGCTTGAAAATCTGCCCAGGCACAGTAACCGAAAACATTGCCACCCAAGTTCTGCCGTAGCGGTGATTTTTGGCATTTGCTGCGTCACCCAGATAACCTGACATGATCGAATGGGGCCCGAATCCTTCCCTGCCTTGACCTGCACTACCAGCACCTCACGAATCAAACAAGACTGAAGATCACTACAACGAGAGATATCTCGAGGCGGTCCCCTGCCTCCTAAAGCGCCACCAATACCCTCACCGACCGTGCGCATAGCGATAATCAGTCCACACCTCAACCAACAATTCCAGAGCGGACAGAAGAAGGCGAACCAGCATTTCTCCGGGTGACATGTGGTTGCTGATGGAGAGGTACTGAAAGTACCTGACATTCCAGACAGGAGCCCTGCCAGATCCGACTCGACAGATATGCAGAGAAGGGTGCATGGTTGTGAACGTCTGTGCCGCTCCAGGGATTGTGCCGAAGACTCCCTGGAGAATAATAACCTTCAGCGCTGCAGCAGTGCATCGACTCCGACGGACACTTCCTGGGTGCCTGACCCGGAAAGACCCCAAACGGAGGAACTTTGCCAGCTTGTGAAACTCACCTGTTCCAAACGCTGTCTGCAGAAGCCGTGACATGATGCCAACCCCTCGAGGCGGTTCCATCTCATTGCCCAGGTTGTTCCGCTTCCCTGTGCTCTCTGCAGCAAAGCTGCGCATGAGGCCGAAGCGCTTTGGATCCCACGTCCTGGTGCCGCACCCAACAGCACAAGTCTTTAGCCTGTCGGCCAGTTGATTCTGCTAGTGATGGCCTCGGCAAATCCTCCACGGCCGCTTCGACCAGAAGAACGACCAGCAAGCCTGCTTTCAACTGTCGGCAATTTCCACTATGCTCGCTCGGCGCACTGCCACTGGCGACACTTGCGCAAGACATAGGCTGCACAGTTTCAGCTTGCTTCAGTTTCTGGGTGGGAGCAAAGGATGCGACCAAGACTCTGAGAATACCAACCACTGCCAGACATATCCTCCAACCCATGACACCGAAGATCCGATGCTCTGATATGGGCACCTGAGCGGTGAGCACCCGGTGCTTCCCCGGGCGCAGATCCGTCACGAATGAGACACGGGCTACAATCAAACACGCCAGCACTTGGCCAAAGTTGGCAGCGCAGTATACCTGAACGGTCTCATGCAAGCCACCAGCATCCATATCTTCAAAGATGTGCCGACCTGCCTTGCCACAGATCTGCCCAGCATCGTCCGACGTGCTCAAATCCTGGGCTTCCAGCGCTACAAAGCCACAACTGCCTACAAGTCACGCAACCTCATTGCGCACGGCTGTGCTCGTGCCCCAAGGCTCCGAGATGAAGGACTGCAGAACCGGCAGAAGCATGGACAGTGCGGCGCCATTCAGAACTCGCAGCGCGAGCATTGGCCACAGCTGTGTTGTGAACCTCTTCTTCGATGCTTGAAACATCAGAGAAAAGAAACAAGAAGCCTACAGGCCCCCAGTTCCTACATGCCAAGTGGGGCAAGGCCTGAAACGCCATATGTTGGCCAAGTTTCGCTAGCTGAAAGGTGCAGAGTCCCCACAAGCCGGTACCGACCTCAGCGGGCTTGTGAGCGGCTTGTGCAGCGCACGAGTCTTCCCAAGCGAGAGACCTTCAGAAGCAGTTTTCTCGAGGCTCCGCTGTCCACCAGGTTGCCCCAGATCGGCCCAGTGACCGCACAGGCCACGCCCTGTCACCCAGCTCAGAGTTCAGGTCCCCACGTCCTTTTGCATTTGTTATGTTTTTTGCCTACGTAGCACATGTTGGTGGCCTGGTCATTGAACCCATCAGACTTCTTCGCAGTGAAACCAACCGACTGCGAGGAACACGGGGCCTTGTCATGCTGATGCCCTGACACCTGCGCTTCTTCTTGAATCTGCTCCGTCGTTATGCAGGAGCCAGGCGGCTTGCTTGGGATGGGTGGTGCACAGATCGCCGCAGGACAAACAACAACACAGAGCAACAGAGTGCATGAAAGTCCTAGCCCCGATGAGCTCGATGCTTGTCAAACCTGATTTGGTCTTTAAAGTTGTATGGCTACGTAGCACAAAGCTTCGCGTCTGCATCCAGGACTAGCTCAAGAAATGAAAGCCCAGTTGGCTTGCGGGCCTGGGCCAGTGCCATCAACCCCAACAGATGCGGCCGCATGTGAAGCTCATGCTCCATGGCTCGAAACCTCGGTGAGGTGCGATGCTGCAGCAAGATGGCGATGCGGACATGCTGGGCGGCGATTGCCGGAGTCTGCTACGTGTACCCGGAATACCGCGTCTAGGGTCTTTTTTTGTTTATCCGCGTCTAGGGTCTAGAGTCTAGAGAAATCTGCTATCCGCTATCCTAAGTCATTCCCTACGCATCCTTGGAGACGCTTGCCCAGTCGCGACGACGGCAGCAGCTGCACATCTGCCCCCTTCCATGCATGGAGCTTCACATGCAACGGATGCCAATAAGCGTTGGAGCGAGCCTTCAGTGCAGAAAGTAGGATGAGCGCGGCCAGTGTCTGATCGCTGGAAAAAAGCCTGGTGCGAGCCCTGCGGCTGGTCTTGTTCCAATCTTACGCAACGTAAGTTGCCTGTGCAACCATCCGGGCTGGTGCCTAAAACAAGTCAGTTACACAGAGAAAGCCGCCACGCAGAAAAAATGTCAGCAATATGCACACAAAGCAAACTACACACCCCCAGTTCCTGTGTACCGAAGAGTGATTCACAGAGCACAGCCGGTTTGCCACATCGATGGAATTCTCCGCAGGTTGTCCCTGCCCGCCATCCCCAGCATCCAGCAGAGTAGCCCAAGAGCCCCCAGAAAATCCCGCAGAATAGGCTGCACAGAGTACCGACATTCTCCCCCATTCACGGTCAATCTAGCCACATTCTATGGGGGACCTCCTGCCCGAATCGGGTCCGTGACGTGACCTTTTGGACTCCGTCCCGAGGAGCTACGGTGTAGAAAGCTCTTGGGCCAATGTTACTAAGATACTAAGACTACTAATGTGTGATCGAAATTGACACTGGAACGAAACTCAACCTTTTCCAACTAAACCCAAACGACCTCTGGGGGCCGGTGGGAGGCTCTCTGCCGAGGTGCCGAGCCCTCCGCGGAAGCTCATCCTGCTGCATTCCTGGGCCTGGGATTGCAGCTTCCATGAGCTAGTGTCGAAGGCCGCGGTCTCTAAACACTACGCTTTCGGGATCCTGTAGGCCTGAAGCTCCGGACTCGCAGTTTCAGCTGTCCCAAAAGTGCATCCCACGAGGAAGCCAGCAAGAAGCCGAGAGGCTAGCAGCTTCAACATGAGCTGCACCCAGCACGGAGATACTTGAGCCAAGTCCAAGTATGCGGAGCATCGGGTCAACACCTCACCAATCTGCACAAGATTTCGCAGTCCTGACAATGTGCAGGGACACCACGTCACATAGTTCCGCATCTCGGCGGTGAGCTTGTAAACGTCCTCATTCTTCTGTAAGGCCTCGGTTATGTGTGTGTGTGCCTTTGTTAGGCTGCAGTGATGAGTCTGCTGACCGCTGTGCTGCTTCACAGCCCTTGAAGCCTGAACCGAGACGTGCGGGTCTCTTTCAAACATCAGCCGAATGAGATCCTCTCAGGTGCCCGACATCTGCAGCCTAATTAAAGCCATCAGCTGTCGGGATGCATGGGAAAAAGCTCAGCTTTTGCAGCAGCCAGCTGCTGATGGAATGTGACCAATTGTCAGTCATTTGAATCAAAGCGCGTTGCCCTCGTGCTACTCATTACTTTCAATGCCGTCTTTCCCTCCTTCCCACCGCGACTCCCTCCATCAAATTCTGGCTAGCTGCTAGCTCACCATCTGCTTGCCTTGCACCTGAAGCGTTTGATCCTCAGGTTCAACATTCAGCACCTGCGGTAGGGACCTCAACAATGTCTCGAACCCCGAGGCCCTACACAAACCATACTCTTCTACTGCTACGAATAGGCCCTCCATGCCTCCCTCCCTCTCCCTTCTTGTGCATGCTTTGAGGATTGAGGGCAACCTGTCTCTCTTCAGCAGCACCGGCTGAGATTGGCGCCGAGGCATGGCGGACCTCGCATCAACTCCAACCCTCTAAGCTGGCCCTCCACGTCACAGCCCTCACTGCAGTCCGGTGCATTTCCGCCTCCCGAAACTATGTCACCGCCACGCTACTGTGCGTATGTTGGGTGCGACGGGTCGGTCCTCCTCCCGACACCGAGATCCCACTGCTTTGCTGCGTGTGTCTGGTTCTGGGCCCAAATCTCGCTCCCGCCACGGTTCTTGCCGAGCAGACATGTAGCCTGACTACTGACTTGCGGGACGGCGAGTCACCCACGAGCGGCAGTGGCGGCTGAACCGCGGGAGTTCGAGAAAACTATCAGCGGCCTCACTCGAGCATTTTTCGAAGCCAAAATGAAAGCGAGACTGTGGCGGCGCAATGCATCAAATGCGAGAGCGCCGAAGCTTTGCCGAGTGCCGAGAACCCTGCAAGAACGCGATCTTTGTCAACAATATGCACCGCACCACTGCGGGAGCAGCAAAACGCCGAATGCGCCTACCGCGTGCACCTGATGGGCACAGTAAACGACTAATTACTCCGACAGTAAGAACCCCAAAGTGCTGCCGCACTGACTGTGACATAAAAGCAAGAATGACGATCATCACTCGTACGCTGTAAACTCGACATGGCAGGTCGTGGTAGGTGCGTGGCCCGTGTGAACTCCTTCCTCACAAGCCACTTCTCATCGTCCCCCGACGGCAGTGGGGTTTTCCTTAGGCTGCATCTTTGCATGCGAGTTTCTGAGCTCACTCACACACTACTGGGTAGTTGACTTTTGTCTTGTGCACACCCGTTGCCTACCATACTTCCCGTCGCCCTGGCATGGCTCATCATCAAACATCGTTCTGGAAGCTATATTTTTCGAGCCAGATTAAGCATCATCCTTGACATGTCACCACGTCACCGGATGTTTGCATCGAATTTTCCACCAGACTGCCTGGGGCGGAAGTGTCTGCTTGGTGAGCAGCGCAAGAAAAGCCAGAAGAAGGAATGGGAAGGTTGTCCCATGGATGTTGACATCCAGGCCTCGAGGCAATCAGCCGTTGCATCCGATAGTTCGGAGGAGTCCGGAATGCGGCTCACGAGAAGAAGGACGCCTGGACAAAACAGTGGAACATGCTGGTACATGCTGATACCGTCGAGGCGTTGGATCCCGAGTACCGGTGCAAACCCACACCTCGAGGATCCGGAAAAAGACTTGTTGAAAAGACCAATGCTCTCCGAGCAAGCCTCTCAAAAAGAAAACCAGCACTCTCTCATCAAGACCAAAAGGAGCATGAGCAAAGCTCGACGGCAAGAGCAAGCGGAGACAGAGCCCACCAAACCTTGGCCAAGTAAAATGAAAGGAAGCAAGCGAGACGAAAAGCAAAACTCTTCGGCTGCCAGGCCGGAAAGCAGAAGGGTACACCCAGAAGGGTACACCCAGTAGCATCGGGAAGCCCGAACCCAGGAACTGGACCCAGCGGCTTTTCGGGAAAAGTTTGAAAAGCTATGGCACGTGCCCGCAAGAATACAGCACTGCATGTAAAAACATGAGGAAGCTGCTAATTCAGCAGCTTCAGGATTTTGCAGACCAGAGTCAGGGCATCAGCAAGAGGAACTCAAGTGAAAAGTCGAGACAGCATGAACTTTGTCCCGAACATGGGCAACACTGAGGATGAGTTGCACGGAGCAGCTTGTGACACGCAGTGCCCTGTGCCGGGTACCAAGGCGATGCCCAAGTTCATTGGAAAGCCAGTCCAGGACAAGTTGGGGGTTGGAAAGGATCTGGGCAGAGCATCTGAACGATCGAGCTCTATCCGGCGACACATCCCAAAGCCGGGGCGGCAGAGGGGTCGAGGCAGCGTTGCCCAGTGAAAGTGATCCAGCGGATCTGTGCTTTCGGGCTTCGCCCTTCCAGTGCAGGAAGCCATGGAGGAAGGGGCCCCTTTGTCTGCTGCATCTGAGTTCACTGAGTGCGGCAAAGTTCTGGTTGCTCTCCTTGAACTACGGTCTGAGACCTAGGGCCTGAGATGAATGAGCATGCGGCCCAAGGCTCGGACCACGCTTTCCGTGGCCACCGCAACTTCCGACTGGTAGATTTGCCACGCAGACCGCTCCGCGTGAGTGTCCACAAGTCCTGGCAGAGGTCACCAGCCCAAGGGCACATGTCATGTGTCTCTGCTCTTTCAGTGAATTCACAAGCAGCCGCCACCGCCTTCTTCAGCCACATGGTTTTGCCCGCACTAAAACATATGTTGGGCATTTTTGGGCCCAATACCGTTTCAGGACGGAGCTGACGTGGAGATGGTGAATCTACGCAGATGCAGCGACATGTAGAGCAAAAGCCGGCCTCCGACATGCCTTTGGAGGTGACGGGTCAGTAATTGAGCACTTGCAGCCGCTTGCACTTCTGCAAGCAGCTCCGGGCATGCTGCGCGCCCAGCGCATCACACAAGAAGAGAAACCAGCACCAGCTGTATGCTCTTGGCATCGCAGCGGGTGAGCCTAAGATGACCTAATCCAACTTCAAAGTGAAACGGTCCCGAAAACTGAGATATTCCCATGGAGCTTGCACATGCTCCATTCCAGCTCACTTCATTCTCCTCGGTGGAGCCGAGCTTTGAATCTCCTTTAGGTGGGAAGGTAATTAGGGACTGCAACTTGGGGCCGAGCTGGCAGCCTGTCTGCAGCTGCAAGGCATAATGCACCTTCCACCTCTGCCCAAATGCCACGACAAAAACACAGCAGCTTCCAGAGGTCGAGAGATTAGGTGGGGTGGGGTGGGGTGGGCTTGAGGGGCCCGCCTCTCCCCCTCAAGTATCTGCGAGTACGTCGACCTCAGCACCAGACCGGGTCTTCCAAAGAACCGCGACCCTCAACTGGCCCTCAACCTCGATGGGTCTTGCTCCCCACGCAAAGGAAAGCAGGTTCCCCCACCCTCCCCGCGCTTGCACGCGCCCTGGTCTCACGAAGTTGTAAACTACTTGGTGAGGCTCCAGGTTGCAACTCGTCTTGCATCTGTACGAACACTAGCAAACCAATGCCCTGCTTGGAGCAATAACACCCGGGAAAGCATGCCCCCTATGCTCTAGTCTTCTTGCATTATGGAGAGGTCCAGCAAGGTGGTGTCACACGACCCCTCCCCACCCGGTTCGGACTAGGTCGAGACAACACTGCGGTGGGGGTGTCTCCTTTTGAAACTCCCCCGCTCTCTCTGCCAGGCATGAAGAAGGGGTGCATGTCAAGACCCTTCCCGCGCCCTTAGAGATCCTCGCGCACGCAGGCACATGCCCGTGGAACTCTCTGCTTGTAGCAGTTCTCAGTCGGCCACGCCCCGGCTGCCGGCACCTTGGAGGGGTCCAGCCGCGCCTCCTGGCAACATGTCCATCATGTCATCAAGCAAGTTTAAGCCCTGAAGAAGAAGCTTACGTCGCTGGATTCCGTCGGCTGTCGTCAGTGAAAGCTCCCAAGTTACGACTCTCTCCCTGGGTTTGGACCCTCGGAAGCTTCAAGACCTTGGTTGAACAAAGCAGCTAGGTTCACCTTGTTCTTCTCGAACTTGGAGTGAATGTACCGGTCGCCTGCACGCACCGAGGCCATCTTTGCCCCTTTTTGGGGTCCCAGAGTGCCATGCGCTGAGGCTCCCGGCCAGGTTTGTGCGGATTGGGCTGCGGCGGGTGCAGGCCGAACGTGGTGCCCATCTTCTTGCTCATCCTCGGCCCAGAGTCCACAGCAGCTTGTGGCAGTGGCCTTGAGATGCTCTCGACGGTCTCCGACCCCCCATTTTCACGAGGTCCGGCCACTCGACATGACTAAGTCAGACGAACGGTGTGGCAACTGCAGGGGGCGCAAGAAAGAGCTTTTGATGATAAGACTGGCAAGAGTCTTACGAGTGAGGTGCTAGATCTTGAGTGTGGGAGAGGAAGGGCATTCGTTGGCATTCGGGGGTTGACTCTTTGGTCTTCCTCTGAATGCCCATGACTCACATGACACTGTCAGCGGCCCCATGCCAGATCATCTCCTTAGCCTTAGTTTCAACTCATCGCTTCAAACTCGATGCACGAGTTGCACAAGGACTCGGCTGTCCCATTTCAGCATCCAAGAGCTTCTCCATCTCCTCCGATCAAGGTGTCACATCCCTTCTTGCATATGCTGATGGCTGCCGCACCTGTATCCGAGACGGGCTTCCCGCCGGCCCGCGCCCAGTCGGGGATATGTTATTCTCAGGACCTGCTCAACAAGCGCGGCTATATGCGTAACGCGGCGACACGAGGAGCAAGGTGGGATTTCCTGCGCTTGGGCGTGCAGGCAAGCCAGTGACACAACAACTGCGCACACAGGCGAACGTCAGGGCAGCTACATCTGCTGAGAAGTCTGCCCGGATAGTTGGGGTAATGCGGGTAGTTTGCCTGAGAATGATCCGAAAGTATGCGCAGAACAGCAGGGCATCCCCTCCGCACATGACAGTCTGGGCCAGGCCAAGCCGCAATCGCTCGAGGCGGGCCTCCTCGAGGAGGAGAGTCGTCGTCGGACCGACCAAAGTCCATCTCGTGCAGGTCTCCACTGACGTGGTTGCGCATGCCCGGGCAACAAATCCGCGTGCAGCCGTATCCTGGGACGGACGTTTTGTCGGGCAAACAATGGGGTTTGGTCCGGTGACGCTGCTTGTTGTATTTTTACGCTGTTTTTTGCCGACACGGCACGGTCCAAGAGGGATAAGAGGCCGACCTCGGGCTTAGCACATGTCGGCACATGTCGGCGAATACCCAATTCCTGAGCAAGCTGCAAAGCTCAAGCCTGCACCCAGTCCGAAGTAGATCCTGCGTGGCAACGACGAGGCAGAGCTTCGAAACAATGGCGAGTCTGAGCCCCCAGCATCGTCCACAGCCAGTCATGCGGCCTCGACTGGGAACCACTCCAACTCGAGCGAGCTGCGAAAACCCCCGACATCGCTGTGCCTTCACATTGGGGCCTCACATACCCTTGCTTCCCGCACAGCTGTCAAGCGTCAACAACCTATTAGCCGCTTGAGTGGAGTTTCGATGCGATGCTGGAGACAGCCACTGAGGTGTCACTGAGCATGTCTCGTTGGAGAATAGAGGCTCACCTCCTCCGGTCCTTTGCTTTCGCTTGTTCCTCCACTGTGCGACTCGGCATTCTTGCGCCGCAGTCTTTCGACTCGCTGAGTCGTATGCGACTGGCCCACAGAATCACGAGGAGCCGACATCATGAACATGTTGAGCGTCCCGACGAAGAAGTAAAACAAAGCGCGGCCTCTTGACACAACCGGACCATGACACCATACATTGCAGGACTCCACCAGTCGCAACGGCATCCGCTGCCTGTGCGCGAAGCCAGAAATGCGGCCCAGCCAAACAGTCCGTGCTGTAGCTTGTTCCACCTGCTACAGCGCAGGCTGCGAAGGCATCTTCTGGCAAGTCAAAGGGCCCGACAGGCCGCAATGCTGGCACTGCATCTCGGAGGGGCCCTCCATGATCTTGGCAAGTTGATGCAGGTCCAGTCTTCATCGCAGCGCAGTTGCAGAACTCATCAGCCCGCCATGGAGCACAGCAGAGTAGCTCCTAGGTCCTCCTAGGTCCTAGGGGCCTCGCGACGATGATCAAGGCCTCAGCTGCAGAAAAACTGAGCTCAGTGCCGTTTACTAGGCGCAGCAATCCCAATGTCTTAAATAAATTTGGGCTCCTTTTCAAGTCTCCTCTGAGGGCACCGCAAAGAAAACGTCGTACGTGGCAAGGACGTAGTACAACGGGTGTGCCATTGCGTAGAAGACGTTGAAGATTGAGAGCCTGAAGCTGATTGGCTGTAACATGTGGTGACTCTTCCTATACTGGACAGTTTCATCGTATCCATTGCAATCGCGGTCGTCATCATATGGACCCTTTCGGGCAGCTGTCATACTGATCGCGCGGAGGCGTCTGCAGCCGGCCGGCAGGGACACCACAAACATTGCGACGGCGACGGTGAAGGCGATGCCCTTCACAGTCCACGCGCTGGCCTGAGAGGCTCGGATGACACGTGGCGACCGACAAATGCGCGGTCCCCGAACATTCGCCGCCCAGCCTCCGCATGCACATAGATGGCTACTGCCGCCTTCTTGGCGAGGTTTGCCCCGGTATGAAGCGCCTGCCTGCCTTGTTTGGCGAAAAGGACTGTACAGCATCCTATAAAGACAGCGGCGGCGGAGGATGCCAACAGCTCTATATGCTAGCTTATGGATTGAGTAGTCTCGACATCCGACTACTTACCATGTGCACGTAGAAGTACATATGTTTCCATGTCAGCTGCTGGCCCAGATTTATGCGATGGCAAGCTGTGACGCGGGCCATACTGTACCGCAGCTTCTTGCATTGCTTCTCGCAGCTTGTGCCCCACCTTCGCAGCGGTGAATGAGATCAGCAGCATAGGCATAGGCTGGGCGCTGCGTGCCGCATTGGAAACACATCTCCACACAAAATGCCCAACCTCCGCATCTACATTATAGTGACCTGCCAATGCCAAAGGGTGTGTCCATACTCAGAAACATCATTCTGACCACCCGGCTGACTCGTGCGAAGCACAAAGGGTGCTGCTTGTTGGGTCTCCATACGGTAGACCGCCATCTTGATGATGATGATGGTGATGCGCCTGCAGAAATCGTTCGGAATTACTCATTCCTTCATTAATTCTGTGAAAGATGCCATGCAAATCCACGGCCGTGTTGTGAGCTGCCGCACGACTTTGGAGAAAAAGGGGGCTCTCCGGGGAAGTACACATTTTGGGCGTCATGCCTCAAAACTGTGACAAGGACTATCGTAATTGTGGTTATTGTATTCCGGAATTAAAAAATTACCGAATGGTATCAACGCAAATTATTATCAGCCGGATGCCATAGAAATCCATAGAACATTAGCAGCAGTTGCCTTCCAGCTCGGAGGTGGTCGTGGTGCAAACCTGGGCACTGCTTGGAGTCGAACACCGTGGACCTCTGTATGTGCATGTGCCCGTGCGAGTGCGCGCGCGCCTGCGTGTGCGTGCATGCGTGCTCGCGCGCGTGTGTCTTTACGTTTTTTCGTTCAGTCTCGTGTGCTCACGCTCCGAGCACCCGAAACAAGACAACACGAAGGATGCCGCCGTGGAACACTAAAGCGATATGATGGTGAGACAGGTGATGCTGATTTTGCTGACAAGGGAACTCTGATGTCAGCTTTTTGCGATTGATTTTTGCACCGCTTCGTTGCTGCCACGCACAGCGATGGGCTTGAGGGCCTAGCCACGAGGCAGTGCTCTGTAAATCTATTGTACTTGTTCTGTTTGCTGGTCCAAAAAGCGGGATGTCTCGCTTGATGCAAGAACTTGCTGTTGACCACTGAGCGATTTTGGTCCGGACGTGCGCTGGTCTGCTGGCACCGATACCGTAACGACAATAACGCCACTTGTCATCACAAGCGCGAGCATCACCGTCACAAATCACTGCTGTTGTCATTGTCGTCAGAAATCAGCATCAGCATCATCGATGATAAAACGCATTGCAGCCATTTGATGATGGTGATTCGACGCGGCAACAAAGATGGTGATGCTGATGCTGGCGACACTGTTCCAGGTCCGGCCTCCTATCCCAGGCGTCGGCGCCGCCAGGCCCTGCGCAACTGGAGACAGAGACTTCGGTTGGCGAGAACAGCTTGGGCAGTCTTTGGAAACTCTCCAACATGATCTTGTTTGGCAAAGGCTAGCGAGCTTGCCCGGTCTGGTGAGTCGCTGAGACTTGTGCCAGTTCGTCTCACTCAGTCTGCACGGCCGGGTCCAAAGCATCGCAAAAGAATAACTACCTGTCAACCAAAGCCATGGCCTCTGCGAGATATGTCATGGCACTTGCCTTGTCGCCGAAGTCAAGGGCGGATGCTGCCAGCTCCGCCTTCTTGCGGGCTTCGATGATGGGCTTCCCGGATCCAGAAGGTCCTTGTACTTGGCCTTGGCATTTACGGCCAGACTTCGGCTCCTCCCAGAGACTCAGCCTCGCTCTGGCCAGGCTCTGCCGCAAACGCCTCTTGCACGAACCGTAAGAGACCGCCCCAAGGATGTAGAACACCGGCAGGAGCCACCACGGAACCGACGTCCACGGACCCGCCACGCAGTCGGCAACAGCATGGGAAAGTCGCTCGAGACATCCGGAATCAGCTTCAGCTTTCCGGCTCAGCATGGACAGCAGCTGCGAGACGAGCGACATGATGCGACCTTTTGCTAGAGATCTTCGAAGCCCTGAGCATCTTCCTCCATGTGTTCCAGATTCGACGGTACGACTGGGCTACGACATGCAGACTTAGACGTCCCTTTTGCACTGTCCTGCTACACATCGCCTCGGCCAGTTCGGCTTGAGCTCAGAGCAAGGGAGCACGCGTGTACGGTACGGAGTCAGTGCATGCCATGCTGCTATCTCACGCGACCATCCAAGCCTGCATGCCCTGGCCACGGGCTCGGTGGTGGGTGTCCTGGCTGTCTCCTTCCCAGGTTCATGGGTGAGCAGCATTCAGCATTCAGCTTAGAAGCATGATACTCTCCCAACGTCTAGGAGTCTAGGACCCTAGGCTCCAGCCACCGGCAGTTGGAGGAGATGGTGCGTGAAACATGGCTATCAGTCTGCGAGGAAATCCTTGCAGCTGCACTGCCACAGCATCTGCTATTTGCTCGTGGCTAAATGTAAGCATGAGAACGGCGATGTCTGTGTGAAGCGTGGCTTCTGTTCAGTGCCTGCTGGCATGGTGACTCTCACAAGGTCAGAAGCACCCTGAGCCACTTGACTGAGCGAACGGACTTCCTCATTTCCATCCCCAGCCAAGGAGCATCGACATGCACCAGAATCTCACGAGTGTCACATACATACTCGTCGCATAAAGGCCCGTGCTCGAGGCTCTCGAGATCTTGTGCCGGCGAGAACAGGGCCTGACCAGAGATCGGCCCGACTTCCACGGGCATCAACGTGGAGACTTCCAGGAAATGGCAAGGCATCGCTTTGTGGAGCTGGCCTGGCCACCGGTCTGTACGAAGCGGTTATTCCACTGGTACGTGTGCATCCGGTCCTTGGCACATGGTTGTGCTATGTTATGCTTGTAGGGCTCTGGGCTTAGCTGCCATGTTCCTCGCACCTAGTCGCTCAGGCCCATGAACGAGCTGGGCCCCACGACTACTGGCCAAACCCCGCGCTTCAGCCAGCCATCGCTGGTCACCTGCAGGAGTGGATTGAAAGCCTTGAAATGCCCCCACAGGCCCTTCACATCGATTCCCACTTCCGGAAGGGACCCATGGCTGCAGGAGGCGGAGCCTGCGGATTGTGGGTCCGAAGCGCCTGCGCCTTGGAGGGTAGCAGTGGTAGCAATTCGGACGATGTTGCATCTTTGGCAAAGACCACGAGCTCCGCAGACAGTCGAGTCTCAGCCCCAGCGTTAAAGTTGAAAAATCCCCACATACGCACGCCTTTGCACACCGACAGGCAGGCGGCAGGCAGACAGACAGACAGCCAGCCAGCTAGCCAGCCAGCCAGGCAGACAGACAGAGAGACGCATGGGCAAACAGAAGGAAAGCCATAATTAACAAGGAAAAAGCACCGCCACCACGACCACTAACCCACAAGAAACGCAATGAACAAGCCAGGATCACAACAGCCGCAACAGCAATGACAAGTGTGGTGGTCGATCCGATGCACGGTAAGCACGCAGCAAGCGTCAATGCAAAGATCGTGTGAATAGTTCTGTTCGGTTGCATCTCGTGCAATACGAGAGGATGACTGTTCATGTTCATGTCCTATCTCTCAAACCCTTAGCTCAACCTGTCCCGTCGCAAAACCGACCGAACAGGCAGTTTGCAGGAGAAACGTGCAGCATTCTCAGTAAGGACGGCTCCGACTCGCTCGCTTCTGCGAAGCGCATACCATGCACTATCTCAGACAGCTTGCCCGGAATTGTCCTGGCACAGGGAAAACATCCGACGAACTTGTGTTGGTGTGAGCAGGACCCGCTTGCATGTTTTAATGTTTTGAGGGGGCAGAGCCCAGAAAGGTTCTACAGTTCGGCCAACAGGCCAGCCGCACCCGGCGTAGCCTGGAATTCGCGATGGCACCTGCCACCAGCCCAGCGCAACAGTTTGGAAGAGTTTGGGCTGAGCTTTCGAACTCGTGCCCTCGACTTGGCTTTTCATGCTTCGCTGTAGGTCTCAGAACCCCCTCCCATGCAGGCTTGCGCTCGCAAGGCACCCGAACCCGCCTCCAGGCCCTTGCCAGTCCCCAGCGCCTTGGCCCAGTTCTCATCTTCTCTTCAGAGAAACCACCAGCGGCAAGCTAAAAAAAAAGCAGTGGGGGCAGCACGGGATCGTGGTTCGCCACTCGGAAGGGCTCCGACCATGTCCTGCGCATAGACCTGGCACCAGGACACGATCCGGGGAAACATGGAGCAAGCCGGAAACAAAGCCCCGGCCTTAGAGGTAGAGACTGCGTCGCCAGGTGATTCTCGGACCCAAACGTGCCTCCATGGAGGTTCTCGGAAACCTTTCTGGGCAGGAGTCTAGAGTCTGGCGTGAGGCAAGGCGGCAAGGCATTGTGTGACCATCGGGTGGGGCTGTCCTTTCCGGCTATGTGCCCGCGATAGCCAGGAATTGCAATCGCCTGCATAGGCAGAGGCCTCCACAAAGCACCAAAAAAACATCAGCCAAAGATGAGCTGAGACTGAGCCATAGGGAAGAGGCCTGCAAGCCCTCGTGGCCGACAGGTTCCCCGTTCGGTCAAGCACCTGTGATGTGCCGCAGGCACCCGCAGCCCAAAAGCCGAGGAGGTGAGCTTTGGCGCGTACTTCGATGGCCCTGCGATCGCCGCTTCTGATGAAGGCGGGCCTTGGGCAGCGCCACTGTCAAAGCTAGGGCTGATATGAGCTGATAACACGCAGGCAACGGATGCGCACTGCTTCGCCATCATCCACTCTTGACGGAAAGCCCGGTTCTGCACAAACTGTGCCACGGACGTGCTGCTCACATTGTGCGAGTGCGGATATTGCCTCCGGAAATATAACCAAAGGCAAGCTGCAGGCTCGATCCTACCACGGCTGGGGTTGCAGGCACGTCACACTTGGCCTGAGAGTGTCGGAGATGAGGCCGCTGAACTTTTTACCAGAATCGAGGCAGCAAACGCCTGTGCAACGTCAATGTGCGGACGGCGCTACAGTCCAGAATAGAAAGTTTCTTGGTCACCAGATTCCTCTGGATATTTTAACCAGAACAAGCTTGAACAGGCGGACTTGTCGAACTGCAAGGAAATTCGTCGAAGCTGTCTTGTGAGCACTGACCTTGGATCTCACCTGGACCTTGAGGCTGTGAGTGCAATTCCACACTCCATTCTGTAAGCCCGCACTTGGGTGCAGGCAAGACCGAGCTACTTGGTGAGGCGATGCAAATACAGCGGCAGCACAAAAAAGTCAAAAAAGCACACACTTCAGCATGCATTGCAGTTTGGGCGCAGCAGTAGTTCTCTCACTCTCACCTTGCCGCAGCGACTCGCAGGCTTTGTTGAAGCTTTCAAGCCGCCTGCAACGACTCGGAGGCCTTGTTGAGGCGTTAGGGTGCTTTAAGGCCCTGCGGGCTGGCGACTCGAAGGCTTTGTTGAGGAATTATGTAAGGCCGTGCGCCCGCAGCGACTCGGAGGCTTTATGGCCGTGCGGGCTGGCAGCCCGCAGCATCGGAGGCTTGGTTAAGGTTTTTGGGCCGTGGCTGGCAGCCCTCATCCTCAGATGCTCGGAGACTTTGTTGAAGCTTTAAGGCCGTGCGAGCGGACAGCCTTTTGTTGAGGCTTCATGAGGCCGCCCGGGCTGCCAGCCCACAACGACTCATAGGCCTTGTTGAGACAACAGAGACTGGGAGGCTTTACTGAAGCTTTAAGGACACGCGGACTGGAAGCCAGCAGCGACTCGGAGGCCTTGATGAGGCCAATTAAGAACGTGCAGGACGGCAGCCCGCAGCGGGCAGGAGGCTTTGTTGAGGCTTTAAGGCCGTGCGGCGCGGGCTGCATGGCAGCCTGCAGCTGTAAGGCCGTGTGGCCTGGCAGTCTGCAGCGACTCGGAGGTTGTGTTGCAATGATTCGGCAGGGGCTCTGTGTGTGTGTGTGTGAAAGCCCTGATCATCGCTAAGGGTTCGTGGATTCTAGGCTAAGTAAATTGGAAGGACAGCTTTGCAACATGCACTTTGTCTCTGTAGATGCAGGGGCACCAGGGGCACTTGACTGGCCTGGTGCAACGAAGCTCCAGTCAAGATGCTAGGATATGAGGTCTGATCAACCTCACGTACCTGCGAGTTTTCCTTTCTGCTGAATGCAAGCTCGAATGGCGACCAGGCCAAGCCACAAACCTGGAACACTATCTTCGATAAGCTGGCGTGCTGACTTACCTGAGGTTTGTGACAACCACTAAGGTAACATCGTGATGATTAAATTGTGGCAAAAGCCGTTATACCAACTGGACGAAGGGCCATTTCTCCGTGTTTCGGCCTCGTTGCCAGTAGGCGAGAGCTCCGTCTTGGAGCACGCCA